AACCCCAACAGCAGGAAGAGCCCAGTCCTCCCCTGCTGTACAGACCTGTAGGGTCTAACCTGACAGCTCTGCTCAGCTCATTTCTACCCCTGGACACCTGGCTTGCAGGAGGAGACTTACTTGTTCAAACAATTCAGTCATTTCTGCCTGAAGACTGTGAACAGTGATGTTCATACAAAAGTCTACGAATATCTGTCATGAAACCTATGAAAAATTATGTAAGAATCTGGGTTTTTTGTGACCCTGGACACAGCACTCTGTGCCTGCCCAGACTCCCTGTGGGAGGAAAGCACTTTGGCACTTACTACAAATCATCTCACCTTCGCAGTGTCTGCCTTGACACCGGGAACAAAATGTCTCTTCCTTCAAGAAATGTGTGTGAGAAGGGGCATTTATGGGTCACAGAGGGCTTTTGATACCCTCCAGTGGTTCAGGGGCAGAGCGTGGGATGCCCACGAATGTGGATGAAGCAGGGATAGGACATAGAGCAAACAGGGTGTCAGAGATACTAGGATATATATATATAGCTCTGCCCTCTTTTTTTCCCTTCAAAAAGTAAGCATGTCCTTTCAGCTAACCATTGCTTTTCCCATGTCATGCTCAGTTCAGATGGGGCAGGTGGGACTTCCCGTGCCAAGAGCAAACTCTACCCTAGAGACTCCTGCTCTGCAGACACTTAAACACCCAAAAGACTCTGCCTGCAGAGAGCATCGATTATTACTCACATCTAGAAAATTATTAATAGTCACCACTTTTAGCAGGATTAGCTCCCCCCCCCTCCCCCAGCCCCATAATTGATTGCAGAATGGGCGGCACAGGGTGAAAAGAAGTGCATAAACAAAGTCTGGACAGGTCTTGATAGCAAAATGTTTATCTAAAACCTCCCCCCACCCAGCTGGCTGCTTGGCCAGTATGAGTCAGCTCATTTCTTGTAGGCTTTATGCCAGGAATGAGCCAGGGCAGATTAAAGTCTTCACTTTGTTTATCCTCCCTAAAACATATGAATCTTCCAAGTTGCCCTTGCCTGCAAGAAAACACACAGGTTTCAGAGTAAAATACCGACTAGTTCCTCAGTGCAAGCTCCCCAGTGTGTGACCGCAGAGGCAGCCGGGCTGTATCTGCCCAGTACTCTGTACGTCTGATTTCCAGAGGTTAATCCCACACAAACCCCGCAACGTACAGAAGCAAAGCAACATACAGAACAAAGGCAGGTGGCATTTTCTGGGAGCAAAATGCCCACCCTGCTCAAACTTACACCCCAGTCTGCCTGCGGGTACCCCATCCCCGTCGCCCCCAACCCCTCCAGCCTCTCAGGGACACACGGACTCAGTGGAGGCTTCAAAGGATGAGCTTTATTTGGCTGTCACAAGCTGTCAGACTCAGAGCAGCATGTCAGCTAGTGCACGACATGCACCTGGAGGATGTTGCTGGGGCTTTCCTGCTGACGCTTTAGTGGTACTTGCGGGCCAGAGCGTGGGCCACCACACGGACCAGCTTTTGCCAGGCAGCCTGGCAGTCAGGGTTGAAATCCTTGCCGAAGTGGGCAGCCAGGACGATGATCAGGATGTCACCCAGGAGCTGGGGGGGACAAGAGCACCCTCAGGTTAGCAATGCCCAGGAGCTTGCAGATCCCCACGCAAAGCACTCACATTAGACCCAGGGAAACCTCTGGGCATTTTGTAGCCTTAAAAATCTCCCTGCAGTCTTTTTTGAGATGTACCTCAAACTTGTTCTCTCTCTTACTCTAAAGATTCAAGTTCTGCTACTGCTAGGCGAAGAGTAACCAAAAATTCTCCAGAAATTTTGTTGATTAAATTTTTCTTTCTCCCTTCTGGCTTCGTCTGAGAGTTTCTCTCAAGCAGAAGACACCGCTGAGTGCCTCCCGCGTGGCAGGGAGCCAGCACTCGGCACTGCAAAGCATCCTGGCATGAACAATGAGCTCATGCTGACACGGGGAGTGGGGATCTCTGCCAGTGCCGGTGACAAGTGTCGGGGTTACTTCTCCACTGGGAAACTCAGATGCAGAGATGCAGAAGCCAAAGTTTTCTCTCCCTCTAGGTCCCATTTCTCTCTTCTTTTTGGCATCTAGCCGCCATCTCTTGCTCCCCACTCATCTCTTGTTCTCATTTGTGCCAAACGTCACTCTTGCTCCTTCACTTTCCCCTCGGCCTAAAACTGTTCCTGCTCAACAACTGCTTTCACTTTACTCTACCCCTCCCTTTCCACACTGAAACCACCTCCTCGCTGCCTTCCCGTCTCCTGTGTGTCCTCACTTGCATGCTCCAGACAGCCTCTCCATGACCATCACCACTCACCCCCTTCAGTTCTTTCTCACCAAGCTGCAGGTGGGTCCCTTCCCTCTCCTGCATCTGCCCCTCACCCCAACCGCCCAACCCTCTTCCTCCTGCGCTGGCATGTCTAGGTAAATCCCTCCAGGCATGGGTGCATGGTTAGGGGAGAAGCTGCCCACAGAGACACAGTGGGGAGGATGGGTTCCCCGGTCAGGAGCAAGGCTCACCCTGAAGTTCTCGGGGTCCACATGCAGCTTGTCGCAGTGCAGCTCGGACAGCTGGGCGAAGGTGTTCTTGATGTTGTCCAGGTTCTTGACAGCTTCCCCGAAGGAAGTGAGCACTTTCTTGCCGTGGGCGCGGACCATGGGGTTGCCCATGACGGCGGTGGCGTTGGAGAGGTTTCCAAAGTTAGCGAAGAACCTCTGGGTCCAGGGGTAGACGATCAGCAGCCTGGGGAGAGACGGAGGGACACAAGCAGACACATGGACATGTTAATGCTCCTGTGACTGGAGTGGTTTCTCTGTCCAGGGTGACAGAAATGAGCAGATGCCCAGGAGCTGGACCTACCTGCCCAGGGCCTCAGCACCGCACTCGGCCACATTGACCTTGCCCCAGAGGCCGGTGATGAGCTGCTTCTCTTCGGCTGTCCAGTGCACCATGGTGGCGGGTGGAGGGTGGCGTGTGGCTGCCGGCAGGTACGGAGGAAGTCTCGGCTCTTGCTCCCGGGGGGATCACACACTGGTGAGTGGCTCTCCCTGTCCCCACTTTTATATGCTACGTTGGGCCCCTCCTCTTCCCCGTGCACCCCTTCATTGGCTGGGCCCGGGGGGGTGGGGGCCCCCCACAGCCCTGGCACCCCGAGGGAGGGGATGCGGTGTTAGGGTGGGGCCCTGGGGCAAGATGCCCAGATCCACCGCCAGGACGAGCTGGCGGGTCGCCCTCTGCCTGCCTTTGATTTCCAGCCCTGCAGCTCCCTGCCGAAGGGTGGCATTTATCTCCACGCACAGTCCGAGCACGGCACCGCGTGAGTCCCACAAAAGCCCCCGGACGAAGTTGCGTGCGAGGCTTGGTGCCCCTCGGACGGTGCCAACCATGGCACGCTGCACGGCTGCGAGCCAGATTTGGACTTGGGGCTGTTGGGTCCTCTCTCTGAGTGCACCAGAGGTGTGCACATGGTTTCTCTTTGTCCTCTTCTTGCAGGACCTGCCAGGCTTTGGGTTCTCCTTGTTCTTTCCTATCAGCTGCCTAACAGTTTGCTGACTTTAGGGTAACACTACAAAAACCATGGGCAGTGGCTTGCAGTCAGAGAGAGCTCCTGTCTTAAAGAGCCTGTTAGCAAAGGCCAAGTAAGGTGGGAAGGGAAAAGTTATGACACAGGGCACACCAGTTGCCTGCTGGGTGTTAGCTCACAGGGGCCGCAGGAGAGGTGGGGAAGACTGGGTATATTGGGCTCTGTGCAGATGCGCAGCAGGAGGCAGTGCCTGCCCTAGCAATTTGGCAGCCGGAGGAGCAGTGGTCCTCCCGAGGGGTGGGAGAGGCAGCTGGGTCTCCTGGGGCAGCGCATCTGCTCGTGCTCCCAGCAGAGCAGCTTGGAGACGGTGGGGTGGGGTGCAGGCACTGGGGATGGACCTTGTGGGGCTGGACCCAGGCAGCGCACATGAATGCCAGCTGGTCCAGCGTGGTCTGGATGACCATGGAGCAACGTGTCCACATTGGCCGTGAGCTGCGGGCTGCCACCAATCGTGATGGCTGCACCTCTGCCTGCTCGCTTCAGGAGGGTGCGTGGCCAAAGGGCCCGGGGCCAGGCCAGGGGGGTGACACTATTCCCCAGCCCTCCACGTTGAATAGTGCAGTGTTTACTGCAGACCTGCTTGGAGCTGTTCTCGCTGCCTTCTCCCTGATAAGGGGCAGGAGGAATTCACCATCCAGAAACCACAAACGTGTCCCTGAGCTGCTCTCGGTGCCGTGGGTACGCTGCGAGTCTGAGAGGCGTACAGGAGGCTGGTGAGGGCTGTCGTCCTCTGCGTGGCATGGAGACTGTGCAGGGAATTTTGCTTTGCTTGTGGAAAGTTAGATGTAGGGGCCAGTGAAAGCAGATGCTCTGACCTTCCTGTACACGAACTTACCATTCTCGTCGTATTTTTTGCCATAATAGGTAGTTGTGTCTATTACATTCTGCCTTTAATAATCTGAGAATTATAATGATTTAAACAAACAAACAAAAAAACCCAACAAGAAAAGAAAGCGTTTTTCCTTCCATGGAGGAAGTTACAAACGATGGACCTGATCTGCCACTTCTCTCACTGCATGTTTTTGTACAAAATTTTCTTCCACTTAATCTGTGAAAGACTTAGAACATTAACCCCAGTGATGTTACCTGATGTCTCAAAAAAGCGTCAGAGTATTTCTGTTTGAATCTTGTAGTGTGTTTATCTGATTTTTGTCTTGAATTGGATTCTCCAGCTTAGACGAGTCTCGCTTGCATGAATTCATAGACAAGACCGTGGCTCGTGTTACCTCATATGTGTGAGCATCCCCTTCCCATTGCCCGGCACCCCAGGGTGACCCCAACCCCATTCCCACAGAGAGGCAGACACCTCTTCACGGCTGAAGCAGTTGGTGTTTATTTGTCAATTAAAGACCCGCAGAACCAGAGGATGTTTCCCTGGGAGCCGGGAGCACCTCCAGGCACGGATGCTTGCAGGAGGTTCAGTGGTACTCGTGGGCCAGCGCATGGGCCACCACACGGACCATCTTCTGCCAGGCAGCCTGGCAGGCGGGAGTGAAGTCCTTGCTGAAATGGGCAGCCAGGACGATGATCAGGATGTCACCCAGGAGCTGGCAACAGAGGGAGGAGAAGCCGTCAGCCCGGTGCTGCCCCCCACCAACGCTCCACCCAGGTGTTCGCGCGTGGACACTGGTTGTTGGGGAACTCATTGCAAAGCAAGGGATAGATTTATCGCAGACCCGTGCAGAGCATCGGGCTCCTTGCACAGCTTGCATCTCTGGCGCTCACTGGGATGCCTGGATGTGCTGGATCCTCCTCCCCAAACACCTTCCTTTGCCTGCTGTTCCGTGTCCTCCCTCTGCTTTGACTGGGTTTATCCTTTCCTTTCGTATCCCTACACACTCTTGCTTTCTCTGGGCTCAGATCCTCTCCTTCTGCTGAAGTGACTGTGTTTATTTTCTCTCCTGTTTTAACTGCTCCATCATAGCCAAGCTCAGCTCTTCCCTCCAAAGCCTGTCTCGGTTTCTTCCCTTCTGCTGCTCCAAGCCAACATTGCTTCCTACCAGCATGTATCAGACTCTGTGTTTCATCCCCATCCACCTCACCTGCCTGGGCCCCTCCTCTCACAGATCCCAGCCCTGTAACTCTTCTCTGTGCTCCCCAAATATGCCTACTCACTCACCCTTCCCCTCCACCACCCCTGCCCTCATCAGGCTCCCAGGATCGGGCACCCCCGGGGTTTCTCTCTAGGTCTCATTGACTCTCAGACACCTCAGAGACCCCTAAAGCCTTCTGCAGAGAACAGAAAGCTCTGCCCAGCTGAGGCTGGAAGCGAGCATGGCTCACCCTGAAGTTCTCGGGGTCCACATGCAGCTTGTCGCAGTGGAGTTTGCTCAGCTGAGCAAAACATTTCTTGATGTTGTCCAGGTTCTTGACGGCTTCCCCGAAGGAGGTGAGCACTTTCTTGCCGTGGGCGCGGACCATGGGGTTGCCCATGATGGCAGTGGGGCTGGAGAGGTTCCCGAAGTTAGCGAAGAACCTCTGGGTCCAGGGGTAGACGATCAGCAGCCTGGGGAGAGACGGAGGGACACGAGCAGACACACGGACACATTAATGCTCCCGTGATTGGAGTGGTTTCTCTGTCCAGAGTGCAGCTGAGCAGATGCCCGGGAGCTGGACCTACCTGGCCAGGGCCTCGGCACCAGTGGTGGCCACATCGACCTTGCTCCAGACGCCAGTGATGAGCTGCTTCTCCTCGGCTGTCCAGTGCACCATGGTGTTGAGCGAGGGGGTTTGCCTGGGGCTTCCCTGAACAATGATGAGGAAGTGGAGCCGAAGTCTGCCCCAGGGATTTTTATACACTAGTAACAGCTTGTCCTAATCTCAGTTCACGTAGCCATTGGTTGGGGCTGGGGAGGGAGTTGAGCTGCGCAAGGAAAGATAGCAATTTTGGATGCTGTCCAAGGGGAAAAGAGGCCCTTTCCCCCCTCTGCCTTTGAGTGGACAAGCATCATCTCATACCCATGCGTTTGCATTCACAGCCCCGAGCTGCCTGCACGGCTCCTCCCCAGCTGCGGGTTTTCAGTATCGCGGAGGCAACCAGAGGCTGGGGTCTGAACGTGCGGTGCAGACCCAACAAGACAGGCAGAAGCGTTCAAAGAGTTTGCAGTCTCCGCCTTGACTGTGTTTTCAGACTCTTAATGGTTCATTGGTGCCCTGCACTTCTGGGATTCATCCTGAGCAGCTCCAGGCATCACCCACCCCAGCCTGAAGGACTGGAAGCTTACTGGGAAACAAGGATTGAATGTTCATTCCCAAATCTAGGCCCCATGCTTTGAATGCAAGAGCCCCCTTTCTTGTCTGTCCTAGCAAAGAGCTTCAGAGTTGTTGTCCGTCATCATTGTTCATCGTTGCTGTCCACACTGTTCTGAGCCTAAGCTCTCCTATTTCCCATCTCTAGAGCAATTCCCTGCCATCAGAGAAAGTGGATCCACCTCGAAGGCACGATTCTGAGTGATGAGACACAAGAACATGGTGTTACCCCTCGCCTTAGTCCTGCAAGGAGAGGAGTACAAGACGGACATGTCACCCACGTGGACAGTCAGTCCCACGTGATGCCAGTGGGAGTCTGGGACCAGGCTGTACTGTGCCAAACCTGTCCAAAGTTCGTTTTATCTGCTGGCCCTCCTGGAAAAAGACAGCACAACATTCATTTTAATTTAGGTTTTGAATGCCTCATGACTGTACGGGGCTGATGACTGTCCCTTAGTCTAATGATTGGGTGGCTTTGGGGCACAGTTCTGAGCCTGACCAAATCAGAATCGGGGTGTAAACCAAAGGCAGAACCAGACAGGGAACCACGCTTATTTTTCCAGACTGCTGCCAGAAATATGCAATAAAACCTTGTCTGGGTGGTTTTGCTGTACCAGCTGACAAGCTGAGAAACTCTTGAGTGCAGACACTGCCTATACCAGAAAAAAAAGAGTTATTTTGATATAGATACCCCAAAAGAAATAAGCTGTCCTGGCAAAGGACAAATTTCTGTTGTTGGCAGGGCTGTCTTAATCAGATCACATGTTCACATAAACTAATTCACCCCTAAGAAACAGCCTATCGGGGGTGATCTCTCACTGCATGCAGCGTCGATGGAGTGTGTCCTCTTGTGTTCTTCTTGGCAACTGTCTTTACCAAGCTGAAGAGTGCTGTCTTGTCTCTAATTGCCTGCTCCAAATAAAACTCCCAGTCAGTTCTTCCAGCCTTACCTCTGGGCAATTCCATTACTCCCTGCAGTTACTACAGCTACAGAAGCTGTGACTTTATTCCGATGTCCTACTTGAGAGGGCATCTCGATCCAAGGTGTTTCCTACTAACAGGGGAGGCTGCCAGAGAATAAAAGTATCCTTTTGCAAACAGGGTCCTGACGCACTACAGGTTGCACTGGCGCACTTAAAATCATGCAAGAAGTGTGTGATTACAGCAGGTACTGAGCTCTGCCTTCAGCTGTACCGGGAGACCTGGCCTTAAACTGAATTCTCTAATTGCAACCCTAGTTCTGCTATGTGTGCAAATTGGTTCGTTCACGTGCTTTTGCAGTTAGGACAGACTCAAGAAATGAGGAGGCTGTAACATCAGAAAATGGCTTTGCCGACACAGCTCCCAGATTCGTTATTAGCGGAGCGGACTGGCGAACTGGTGGCACCAGTCCTGTGGAACCTCGGCACCAGAGCAGCTCGGACGCACCACCCCACAAGGGCAGTTTCAAACGCCCATCCCACGTGTGAGGGGAGATGCTAAACCAAGAGAAGAAGCAAAGGATGAACAACTCCTGGAGCATGCTGAGCTTCACCTTATCTTTCTTCCTTCTCCTTCAGCCCTGTCCCTCCAAAGCCTATGTGGCTCCTCCTCGCTCACTGCTGTGGGCAGCAGCATCTCCCGAGCTCACCGTGTCCCTGCCAGACAACATCGTTCTGTCCTGGCAAGAGATTCCTTCAAAGTGCTTTTCACATCACCTCCAGCAACTGCATTACTGCCACAGGGCAGTTATCAGCCGACAGAAGAAAAAAGCATGAGATTAAACTCACTGTGAAAGACTTCCAAGGGCTTTTTAGTTTTAAGATTAGTCAGGCTGTTTTAAGGAAGCCTACTACGTTGGGCAGGCCGAGAGGCTGTTCACAACAGTCAGGCAGCAGTCCCTAATGCTGTCACAGGCACAAGCTCACAGACAAGCAGATACAGCCTGGAAGGTGCCTGCAAGGACAGCAGAGTGATCTCGGCCAGGACATCACGAGCATTTGCCCCCTCCCTGGCAGGGTTCAAGGCCAGGTTGGATGGGGCTGGGAGCAATCTGGTCTGGTGGGAGGTGTCCCTGCCCATTGCAGAGGGGTGGAACTGGTCTTTAAGGTCCTTCCAACCCAAACCCTTCTGTGATTCTACGATTCGCTGTAATCAGCCCTGTGCTCTGTGAGATGGCAGAGTAGTCTCTTGGCAAAAAACCCAAGCGCATGACAGCCCAAACAGTCCCAGCCCCGTGCTCTCCTTGAGGCTTCTCCATCCATCTCCTTCGTTTTTATAAGAAAGAGTTCATTTTAAGTGCATTTTAAAATCACCTGCTTTATGGCATGGGGGCAGAAGCCTGGCCGGCAGTTTTTGGATGCTCGGAGCTCCCAGCGCAGGGGTTGTACATTGAGGAGGCTGTTTGGTGGCACAGGGTGAGAGGGAAAATGTTCATCACAAACTTGCCAAGGAGAGGCAATTTCTGCAGCTTCTTTTCCAGCTCACAAAGGGAGATCTCCTTTCCCCTCGTCCACCCGCAGCAACACCTTGCAGCATACTTATCCCCAGAAGGAAAACTAGGGGGCCTCTTGCTGTCCACCTGGGGTGGATTTCACTGTGCTCACGACTCTTCCCTCGAGCATCCTTCCAGACGGCTATTCCCTATAGTGTGGGTGGAAGATCCCCTAAGTCGTTCTTCATCTCTTGGCCCCACGCTGGGCCGTGCCCACTTCCATGGACAGAATCTTCCCTTTTTATATGTAAACCATCCCGATAATGGCAAAAGGCAGCTACAGTGACAGCCTTTCCGCAAGAAGCAGAATTTACTGGTCACTCTGATTGCAGCAGGCAGTGTCCTGCGCCAAGCTTTACCAGAGCCCTTATCAGCAGGAGTGGCAGCTCTACCCAGCTGCTCTGGATCCAGGCCAGCCTCTTCTCTCTCCTCCAAAATATGCTATTTCTTGTATCTTAAGCCAGTAGGTCTCGAGATTGTCTTTGTTCCCACTTTATTTGCTGTGATCTTCCTTTCCCAGCTGAACAGCCCTGTCTGGGCTCATCCCACTCTGTGCCAGCATCTTGTGGTCTCCCAGTTGAGGGCAGGAGCTCGCTCCTTCCCGCTGCAGTGGAAGCAGCAGACAGCAAAATGAGAAAGTGGGTCAGCCAGCCCTGCCTTGGTCGGGCCATGGAGGGCTGGGACCGCTTCGAAGGGACTCTGGGCTCCAAAAGGCAGTTTGCACCATGCAGAGGCCCCGGGGCTCACGGTCAGCGTCTGAGGCTCACTGAAACAGCGTAACAGAAGGCAAAGCAGAAGTCAGGTCCTAAACACGAGCCAACTGCTGCTAGCCAGCTGCCAAGGACCAAGCTGACAGTCACTATCCCCCGGGCACTTCGTAGCTCCCAGCCCTGCCCGAGCATCCCAGCGCCGCTCCGCACCACTGCCGCAGAAATGCTGCAATGGCCACTTTATCTCCCGGTAAAGCACCAGCACTGCTTTCGCCCCCTGTCACTGTGCTGGTGAGGCTCAGCTCTCCCACCCGAAGAGGACCATCTGCACAGCCTGATGGCCCAGAGATGCACATTTGATTCCTGCTTTCCCAACAGCGGAGGTGCTTCGGTCGAGCCCCTTCCCCTGGGCTGCTCCATTCCCCAGCTGCAAAGGAAGGAGCACTGCTGAGATGCTTCCTCTGTGCAGAGCCGTTAGAGCTGCTCATGCAGCACTGCTAGGACTAGGCAGTGTCATTCCAGCACGAGGCTTGCCATGGTGCTCGTCTAGCCTGCGTCCAGGGCTCACCTCTAACCCCACTGTGGGGTCAAATGGGCTGTTGGTTGTCATAACTGTGCTCTTGCTTCACACCAGAGAGGTGCCACCTCACTTGGAAAGCCTGGCACACTGGCCCTGCAACACCAGCACCACATCCAGCCCCCTGACTGTACCTCGAATTGCAGATTAAGGCCGACAGGACCACCCGGGTGCTGGCTGCAGTGCACGGCCAGGGAGCAGGACACGCTCCACATCACCGCTGGGACACGGCTACGGCACAGGGTAGGAGAGGATGAACAGAACAGTTAAGGCATTCACAGACACTGGGGCAAAAACGTGTTGCTGATGCCCACGGCCACTGTGCAAGCGTTTGGTGGTTTGGGACCCAGAGGCACAAACGCACGGACAGACAGCGCGTGTGCCGCTGGATGCACCCGCAGCCGCTTCGTTAATGCCGTGCCCGCCCGTGCCTCGGGTGCGGGACCCCTTTTCCCTTTGGTGGCCACTTCCAATGGTTTGAACGGCACTTGTGGGCGGACTGGAACAAGACATTGGGAACTGTCTTACCTCCTGCAGTCCCGCTGAAGTGCCCGTTTGCTGACTGAAAGGAGAAGGACGTGCTGCAGGAAAGCTGGGCTGGTTTCTGGGGGTTTTTTTCTTTTTCTCTTCTCTCAGCACAGGGTGTTCTCAGCACTGCCAGTGGGGCTGGATCCTTTGCCTGTCAGACAGGCTGTCTGTGTAGGATAGCG